AAAGCAGAATGCACCGCCGGTCGTCCTCTGGGAACAACTCGATATATTCGTGGGCATCTGCGGCCCAGCGCCGGAAAGCGTCTCCCAAGACAAACTTGTTCGGCGAGGGCAGGCTGGGTGAGGGATGGGTATGTACATGCCCGCCTCGGAGTACGGAGGAAAGTAGAGACAGAAGGTGGGATAGCAGGTTTCCCAGGGTCCCAAAAGTCGTTGAAGTTAGTTGAAGTTTGGATTCTCCGTACTTAGTTCTCTTTGGCAGGAGCCGGCCTCACACCATGGGACCACCCTGGTTCGACCGTGAGCTTAGAAGTATGCTCCGTAGGAGAAGTCGTGCGTGGAAGCACTACCGTACTTCTAATTCAGGCTACGATGAATACCGACTAGTACGGAACCAGTGTTCGGCAGCTAAGGTGGCCAAACGCCGTATTTTCGAGGAGCGTTTAGCTGCTGAATCGGCCACAGTGCCAAGGAGGCTAGTTGCGTACTTGAAAAGGAGAACCAGGACGGTGCCTGGTCTCCCGAGTCTAGTCGAGAATGGAGTCACTGCTGACACGGATGTGGACAAGGCTGGTGTACTTGCCGGGCATTATGCTTCAGTGTATACCGGAGCAGATATCTGGAACTCGCCACCTTCACCCCCTCATCAGGTTGTGTTCGCACCCTCCTGACGTGCTCCCAATCAGTGCCCCCTGTCTGGAAGCCAGTGACGTCGCCAAGATACTACGTGGCATTCGTCAACACCAATCCCGGGTCCAGATGGAGTTCATCCGTTGGTGCTGAAGGAGCTGGCTGATGTCGTATCAACCCCGCTAGCCCAAATNGTCTCTCCGGACTGGCCGATTACCATTGGACTGGAAGAAAGCGCTGGTTGTTCCCTTGTTCAAAGGTGGTGATAAGCACGCCCCGGTCAACTATTGGCCCGTGAGTTTGACTTGTGTTGCATGTAAGATGCTAGAAAAATTAGTGGCAAAGCACATTATCGGTCACCTGGAGACGCAACATCGTATTCCTTCTCGACAACACGGCTCCTGACGGGGCCGCTCCTGCTTATCCAATCTCCTGTTGGCGCGTGAGTATTGGGCGGAGTCTAAAACTGAAGGTTACTCCACGGATGTTCGTGGATTTCAGCAAAGCGTTTGACCAAATGTCTCTTTCGAAACTACTGGTCAAACTGAGGTCAATAGGCATCCAGGACCCGATAGTTTCCTGGGTTGAGGACTTTCTAAGGGACAGACTATTCTCGGTGAAAGCGTCAAGGGCACAATCATCATGAACGACGGTTTCTAGTGGCGTTCCGCAAGGATCGGTACTGGGGCTAATACTGTTTCTGCTTTTCATCAATGACCTGCCGAACTGCCTGGAATCGAAATATCTGTTGTACGTGGATGATCTGAAGATCTGGAGACCTATCCAGTCAGAAAGTGATGTAAACACCCTGCAGAGAGACCTGGATTCTTTGATGCACTGGTGGAGAGCGTGGAATTTACCCATCAAACCTACGAAGTGCCATTATATGCACATTGGCCGGCAGCCCAGTCCAAGATTACCACCAGCACCTTATAGACATTCCCTTACTGGCATCCGCATGCGAACGGGATCTCGGAGTGCTGGTTTCCGCGTCTTTAAAAACCAGGGAGCAGACAGACAAAGCCTGCGCCTTGAGTTGAAGAATCCTTGGAGCCATTCGCCGTTCCTTTTCAGGGCGCTGTACACCTCCCATGTCAGACCTCGTTTGGAGTTCGCGAGTGCAGCGGTATATCCGTGCACAACTGCCGAAATTGTGAAACTGGAGAGGGTTCAACGAGCTGCCACTCACATGAATGCCGGGTTACGTGGGTGCTGTTACACTGAAGGATTGCATGCTACTGGACTGTTCCCCGAGTCATATCGCCGAGTACGGGGTGACATCATATGTGTACGATGTATTCTACGTAGTGACATGAGCCCAGAGCTAATGGAGCACTTCCCTATGCGCGAGCAGAGCAGGACTCGTGGACACAGACTTACGCTGCTGAAGCTTTCGTCGATAGGATTAACTCTTCGGTACCGCCTATCGCGCAGGGTAACCACCCTATGGAACTCCCTTCCAGCCGATGTGGTGGACGAGGTAAATGACACCATGTTCAGGAGGAACCTTGAGAGCGTCCTCCGAGAAATGTGATATGCAGATCAGTCCTGAATGCATTCGTTGAGTCTGTTGTGACGAGGTTCATACGGGAAGTTCCCACGGCCTCTAATGGAAGAAAATAGAACATTGAACATTGGCATGACAAATCCGGGCAGCATCGCAAATTTGTAATATGTTTCGACCGAGGAGAAGACTCGACGGATTCGGACAAAATTATATTGATGTAAAACGTAGCAACACTATAATAATATGAAATGTTTACTATACAAACTGGTAAACTTACGTGTGGGTGGTGTTTTGGTCTTCTTTCTCAATTCAGTTCAGTTCAGTTCAGTTCAGTTTGCACAGAACGAGGTGTGGCCCGGGCCACTCTTGCGTCCAGATTGATTTGTTGTTAGCTGTTCTTGTGGCTTCCAGCACTGCGAGTCAATAGAATTTTTCTG